GGTCCAGATTGTTCGCAATACTTCTGCGTGAGATCCTGCTTGGCCCCCTGTCCTTCAGAGACGCGGGCGCGGCGTTGAATGTGATCGGCCAAACGCGCCTGCTGTTCGCAAAGGTGAACAGTGCTTTAACCGACCTCGACGGCCGCAGGATGACGTTCGACTGGACGGGCGCAAGCTCCCAAGAGCCATGCATTTGTTGCGACAAGTGTTTGAAGAAGGATTCACATCTCATTCCAGGGTGCTACGATATATCTTGTTCAGCTTTCTCGAAATTTCGGTTGCGTGATCACGAGGACATGCTTGCAAATATGGCTGCCGCTGTGGCGGCGAAAGCGAGACGTGACGCTGGGGCCATGTGCGCTGGGGGTTTCAAAAAGCGCATTCAGGGCGTCGGCTCCAACCCAAACCCACTGGGCCTTCAAGCAGATGAGGCTTTGTGCGGCATCCTCGACATATCTGTCATCATCCGCGCAGACTGGGTGCACCATTATCTACAACATGGCGGATTTTCTTGGGGGCGCACGGCTTACGTGAGGGCGTGCGAGAGCAAGCTGTGAATTATGTTCGAGATGTGGGGTGAGTTGGTGAAGGCTGATGGGACATTCCCCTTATCAATGGGCGTGGAGATCAGCCAAGTCTACGACGCATTTCCCTCATCCGCCGAGGAGGAGTCCAAGATTCGGTGCAAGGCAGGTGATTCCATATCCTTGTATGTTATCATGCGGCATTTTGTCGAATGCAGACTGCTCGACATCCCTGGCCTTGAGAGGGAGAACGAGTCTTTCAGCGCAGCATGTGCTGTCTTGGGCCTCGTCCTCGAGGCTAAGAGGGCCTCGCAGACTGGGCTCGCAGCCATTCTCAATGAGCTCAGGGCCGCTCTTCGCATACACATGGATAGGCATGCAGCCGCATGCGGCAGGAGGTATTTACTTCCGAAACACCACGCCATGATGCATATTCCAGCTCAAATTTGGAAAGACAAGTTTGTAGTAGACATGTTCGATGTTGAGCGCTTAAATAGTCGCGTCGAGCAGTCCGCAGAGAACAGCGCCAGGAACACAGAGCGGCACGAGTACTCTTTCCTCTCGAACTTGCTGACGGGGCACCATAATGATTTGACCGATGGTGTGCAATCCCTCCGCGAGGGCCTTCGCGGGTCTAGAAAGGAATTGCCATGTTATCCAAATGTGGAGTTGGGTCATGGCGCCTGGGGGGATGGTCGCGAGTTGCACGTTCACGACGTGGTTTTGGTCGGGGATGGTGCTGGCCTCGCGTCGGCCTGCGTCTGCGAACGCGGGGCGCTGTGCGTTGCCGTCAGGAAATTGCTGCCCGCTGGCAGGCGCGCCCGCTCAAGCAGATTGTTTTTGCTTTCGCGGGGGTTGATGGCAGTTAGCGTGCGCGATGCTCACGCGGCCCACGCGTGGCACCGCGATGGGGGCGCCTATGTGGCGCTGGTTTAAAGGGCGCACGACCTTGCCAATTTATGTGTATATATAATAATAATGTTTTTTTTTTTTTTTTTTTTTTTTTTAAAAAAAAAAAAAAAAAAAAAAAAAAAAAAAAAAAAAAAAAAAAAAAAAAAAAAACTGCTCCCCCTCTCATCCCTCTTTCTCCTCGCCCCCCCCCCCCCCTCGCCCCTCTTCCTCTCGCCCCTCTGACCATTGAGCTGTCGGTGGACGTGCCCCTATGTATAGGGATACAGCCGTAGCCAAGTTTGGGCTCAAGCAGCGGGGCCGCCGCTCTCTGTTTGCGAATTGCCATGGGATCTCCAACTGTTGCCATGGCGGCGCCAGCGCTTCTGCAGCGCACCCTGACGGTGTGCGACTACATCAACGAGTCGACGCCTGAAACGTCGCCGTATCTCGAGACCTTGATGCGCATCGAGGAGCAGCACAACTACGCCATGTACACGTCTCGTTCGAATTCGAACGAGTGGCACGTGACCGATTGGCACGGCAACGTGAGCTACTGGCCGAACAACATGATGATCTTGCAGTTCAATTGCCTCGGCGAAACACCAGCGAGGACGTCGGCGGCCCCAAGCTGACGGACGCGGTGCTGAAGACCACGGCGTTGTTCAAAACGAACGGCGGCGAGTGGCACGGCCACGACTACAAGGGCAGGTCGACCCGCGTGGCGCCGAAGGAGAAGTGCAGGTGGGGGGCGCAGTCGTGGGTGCAGTCTCACGCGTGGGGCGATCAGGCGGGCTGGCGCGACGTGGAGGACCCGTGGGACGACGGACGCGGGCGGGCCCTGCAGATGCGCTGAGCATCGCTGCAGCGTTGCTCGCTGCGCCGCGAGGCCGCGCGACCGCGCGGGCCATTTCTAGGACCTCGAGCGCGAAGCGCAGGTGCTCGAGCAGAGCGACACGCTCAGCCTCAACCTCATCGTCCTCCTCGTCCTCCACCTCCTCCTCCTTTTTGAGCGTGTCCCCCACCTCCTCCCCCCCTCCTCCTCCTTCATTGCCCTCCTCCTCCACCTCCTCCTCCCTCCCTCCCCAGCCCGAGCCTTGAAAACATCAAACGGGGATGCGAACGACGAAAACGACGACGACGACGACGGCGACGACCAGGTATGCGGCGCTTCCGCTGAAACGAACGCTATCCTTCCTCCTCCTCTCTCCCCTCCTCCTTCCTCCCACCATCATCCTCTGACCATTGAGCTGCTGGTGGGCGTGCCCCTATAGGGATACATCCGTAGCCTAGTGTGGGCTCAAGCAGCGGGGCCGCCGCCCTCTGTTTGTGAATTGTCCTGCAGTGGGCTCTCCAGCTGTCGCCATGGCGGTGCCGCTGCCAGAGTTTACGCGGCGCACCATGATGGTGCACGGCTACATCAACGAGTCATTGCCAGACACGGCGCCGCATCGAGAGACTCTGATGCACATCGACGATCAGCACAACTACGCCATGTACATGTCTCGTTCGAACTTGACAGACTGGCACGGCTACGGGGGCTACGGGCCGAACAACATGATGGTCGTGCGGTTCAATTGCCTCAGCGGCACGAGCCAGGACGGCGGCCCCAAGCTCACGGACGTTCCGCTCAAGACCACGGTGCTGTTCAAAAGCGGCGAGGAGTGGCACGGCCATGACTACAAGGGCAGGTCGATCCGCATGCTGCCGAAGAAGAAGTACAGGTGGGAGGCTCAGTCGTGGGCGCAGTCTCACGCGTGGGACGACCAGGCGGGCTGGCTCGACGTGGAGAACCCGTGGGACGACGGCCGCGGGCGGGCCCTGCACACGTTGCGCTGAGCGCATCGCTGCAGCGTTCGCTGCGCCGTGAGGCCGCGCGAATACGCGGGCCACTTCTAGGGCCTCGAGCGCGAAGCGCCGGTGCTCGAGCAGAGCTACACGTTCAGAATTTACCTCCTCGTCCTCCTCCTCCTCCTCCTCCTCCTCCTCCTCCTCCTCCTCCTCGTTGAGCGTGTCCTCCACCTCCTCCTCCCCCTCCTCCTCCTCCTTCCTTGCCCCCCTCCTCCACCTCCTCCTCCCTCCCTCCCCAGCCCGAGCCTTGAAAACGTCAAGCGGGGATGCGAACGACGAACGCGACGACGACGACGACGACGACGACCAGGTCAGCGGCGCTTCCGCTGAAGTGAACGCCGACGACCAGAAGCGGCGCTTCCGCTGAAACAAAGCGACGACGACGACGACGACGACGACGACGCCGACGACCAGAAGAGGCGCCTCCGAAACCGACGACGAAAACGACGACGACGACGACGACGACGAGGACGACGAGGACGACGACGACGAGGACGACGACGACGACGAGGACGACGACGACGGGAGATTGGAATATGGGGGTGAGGCAACCCCCGCTGAGCATTTTTGGGGCAACATAGTAAGTCCCATAAGTAAGAGAAGTCGTACATAAGTTGGATGGTAAGTCCGATAAATATCGGCAGCGTCAGAAGTTACAAGTAGCCGAAGTGCAGAATGCGTCCAAGATGCGCGCTAGGTTAGTTGGGCCGCCTGCGACTAAGCTATCCAACCTATGCGATTACATCATTCTCTGAGCGAGTGCAACGCTACTTGTGGGTGTACAACGCTACCTGATCAGCCGTTAAGCGAATACACGCATATTTGCATAACTGCATCTGGCGCAAGAGCGCCGACCGATATCAGCCGGTCTTGCTTCCCGGATTTCCGGATTTCTTTGTGGAATCTTTCTTCGTTGGCGTAGTCCCCAAACTGGCGGTAGGTACTGCGCTCTTCGATCAGGTCCAACGTTGATGTACTTGTCCACGGTTGCTTTGCTGTTGTGCTTCTGGCTGGAAGGGAGGCGGATGCTTGAACAAAAGCCTCCTTCAATTCTCTGCGGCAGTCTCCAATATGTCGGTGCTTGGTGTTCGCATCGATGCATCAACGAACTCTGCAATAAATTTGCGCTGGATTTCTTTGCTGCTCCGGAGCGCTCTGGCACACAATAATATTCGTCCTACCCCGTCCGAAACGGAACGACAAGGAACGATCATTCGGGCGATCGCCTGGGCCCGCGGGGGGGTCCTAAAAGGGCCGAGAGGGCTCTACAGGCTGTCAAGGCCTCCAAGAAGCCTGCTGACTTCTTCGAAGTCCCACGCCTTCTGACACGGACCCCAATGTCCCCACCTCCCTGTGCGCGCCGCTAAACGGAGAGACAGATGGCATGTCATCCCTGTACTCTTGGGATCGCGAACGAACGGGTTTGTCGCTCCAGCTCTCACGCTTGCGTGCGCCGAGTAAGCTTCACACGCCGCTGTGGAGGAAGGAGGACAGAGAACCTGCTGGATGTTAGAAAGTTCTGGGCGGTCTGGATGATCCTAAGAGGCTCATGAGCGAAGAGGAAGAGGAGAAGGGTGACAATGGAGAGGGTAACTGAGGATGAGTAGGAGGTAGAGGATGATACGATGAAGAAGTGGGGGAAGATAGTGAAGATGGAGAGGATGGCATGTATGCAATTGAGAAGGGGTGAGGAAAAGAGAGGGAGGCTGAGGAGCAGGATCATCAGATGGCCCCAGCCTCCCGGATGTGGAACGCCACCCTGTCGCCACAGCGCAGCCCCTGGGCCTTGGCGCGCTCGCGCTGGTCCAAGCTCTTGATGTTGTCCACGTGGAGGAACAAGTCGGGGCGGTTCTTCGACGAGCTGGACACGAAGCCGAACCTTTGGCTCGAATGGAGCTTAGGGAGCGGAGGAAAGGTAGGGTAAGGATAACACCTTTTCTCATCATCCCAATCCTCCCCTTCCCCATTATTATGTTGCGTCTCCCTTCCTCCCCCCCGTCATCCATCCCCCCTCCTTTTGCGACTTCTCACCCGCCCCTCATCTGTCATCCGTTCCACGACTCCACCTCAAGCTACCGCTCGTCCACCCCCTCCCTTAACCTTCCTCCCCTATCTCGTCTTTCCTGCATCCTCCCAATCCTCATCCGTATTCTCCTTCTCATCCTCCGCCTCTTCCCTCGCAAACCGAATCCCTCCTCTACCCCTCGTTAGACCACGTTCCCGTTTCCACCGCCTCCGTCCTCCCCAAGGCCATCTTGCTTCATCCCCTTCATAGACCCTCCTCTTCCCGCTAGGTTCCCACTACATCCACCCTCCGGCCTCATCCCCGTCCTCCCTCATCCTCCATCCTCCATCCCGCCGACGACTCCATCCTCCATCCCCCCCCCGCCCTCGTCCACCAGCCACAGCCCCCTTGTGTCCTCCCTCTTCTCTTTACCATGCCTGCTCCTCTCCCTCGTCCCCCTCCCCCATGTGGAATACGATACGGCAGAAGCTGTGGTGCACTTCTCGGGCCGCGATTAACCACAACGTCATTACACCAAATGCTCGTCATCCAAGGCACTGCTGCCCGGGTGCACCGAAGAGGGGGGCAAGGAAGAGGGGGGATCATGGCTCGAGGCACGTGCGCGGACGAATGGGGGCCAGGGGGCGAACTGAAAAAACAAGAGGGTGCTATGAAGCCTGAGCGATGTCATAGCCCCGGCCGCAACATCTCCTCTCCACACAAACGCACCTTGCTCTCATCACCCGCACAGCCGCCACGTGGTATTCGGGTCATAACTCGGGCCTGCGGCCGCTGTTCGGGACGACTCGGGCACCCCAGGAAGGCTCTCGACGAGGCGCCAAGATTGCAAAGCACCCCGCGGCGAGAAAATCCCATCCTGGCGGCAGAATGCCCCAAGCATCAAAACTACATAATGAACCCAACCATATGCGGGTGCAAGTGCCGCAAGGTAGGTGGGACGAAAGAGGGGCAGGTCTCTATGGTGAAACGAAACGTGTGAGGGGTGTGCTGAGATGGGCGCGGGCCGCTATGCGGACTTTGCCGCTGGGGCCTTCGGTGGGGCTTCTATGGGGCCGCGAAACGTGTGAGAGGTGTGCCGAATCGGGTGCGGGGCCGCCATGCGGACGGACCCTGCCGCTGGGGCCTTCGGGGGCCTCGAAACGTGCGAGGGTGTGCCGACATGGGTGCGGGGCCGCCATGCGGACCCTGCCGTTGAGACCTTGCCGAAATGAGCGCGGGGCCGCCATGCCGACCCTGCCGCTGGGGCTTTCGCTGGGGCTCCCTTGGGGCCACGAAGCGTGTGAGGGGTGTGCCGAATCGGGCGCGGGGCCACCATGCGGACCCTGCCGCTGGGACCATCGGTAGGGCTTCCTTCTGGGCCTTCGAAACGTGTGAGGGACGCGCCGGGTCTGACGCGGGTCCGCCAAGCGGGCCCTGCCGCTGGAGCTTTTGGTGGAGCTCCCCATAGGGCCACGAAGCGTGCACGGAGTGTGCCGAAATTGATGCGGGGCCGCCATGCCGACCCTGCCGCTAGGGCCTCTGGTTGAGCTCGGTGGCGCCACGAAGCCGAACTCTTCGGCCCAACTCTCCGCCGCCAGACCCGCTGGTGCGATGGCAACTACGTTGAGCCTTCCGCGCAAACCTGCCTGCCTCCCCCCAAACGCCCATATAGGGAGACTCAGGGAGGCCAGCACGTCGCCGTCCAAACGCAACGTCACCCTCTAACTTGCGCAGGCCACAGTAGGGCGCCAATTGTAAAACGAAGGCAGGTCTAAGAGATGTCATCGGAGCGAGATGGACCGGGAATCTCTGAGACCCAGAGGACCTGGAGGATTTGTCAGGCGCCCCCGAATGCTCTGAGAGCGTTTGGGAGGGCTATGTCGCGATTCGTCTTTGTTCTAGGCCTGCCTGACACACCGCCGTCTTGGCAGACTCGCGACCTTGCGATGGTCCCAAGATGCTGGCCCAAAGATCCTAGGGTGCAACCCGTGCCTCCTCCCAGCCATTGCCGAAAAGAGAATTGGGAGGAGGGAGGAAAGCCCTCCCCCTCCACATTCCCCCCTCCTTCCCTCTTCATGGTCTCCTCCCCTCTTCATGGTCTCCTTCTCCTCCCTCCTCCCTCCTCCTCTGCCCTCAATCATTGCCCTCCTCCCCCCCACAACATCGTCCTCCTCCTCCTTCTCCTCGCCCTCCTATGTCGATTTGCGTCATCCTGTGTCGCTTCTGGGGGGCCGTGTGGCCCGAAATTGGCGTCCAGAGACCAGAGCCGAAGGAACATCTCGGCACTGACAAATAACCAATCTGCATTGGAGGCTTAGGGGGGACTCGTAAGCAGAGGCAACACCACTTTTTGAAGAATCACGAGTTTACCGTCTGAGTTGTATGGGAGAGAGGTGCAAGGGGACGAACAAACACCGAACTAACAAGGCCCCCCACACACGATACGGAGAACAGGGCGCAAAGGCAGAAACACTTTTCACATATCCACGAGTTCACCATGTCCGCCCGAGTCTGAATGTGCGGGGGGGCGGTGAAAAAGAAAGAGGAAATACCGAACCATACAGCCGTAAGCCCACACGCATTACGCGTCTGAGTCATAAGGGCATCTGAGAAACGACTTGGAAATCTACGCCGTGCAAGAATCGCTCAGCGCCGCTCAACTCAGTCGAGCGGAATCAGTGTTGAGCGGTGCTGAGCGGAATTGTGCAAAGGTGTTGCTCTGGCGGTCCATGAATTTCCTGGAAACTCCTACGGTTGGGGCCCCTAACGCTCTGGCAACGGGGAATATCGACTAAATGTTCAGACGCAGACGTCATGTACTTAAGCTTTCCGAGGATCGCGCGGACTCCCGATGGTCTAACCTCATGCCCGTGAGAATAAACACTAGGGGATAATGAAGTTCGGGGTTCAGGGAGAGATAATAAAAGTAGCCCAGCAGACCTCAGCATAATCTCGAAGTAAGAGATGATCAAGAGGAGACCAAGTCGAGCACGTTTTGAGACATCCTTGGCGTTTAGTTTTCATAGAAATATCCTCAACAATGGCTTATCTCGCTGGAATGGAGGAAGCCATATATAAAAAAGAAAACTGAAAATAACAAAGAATATAATAAAAGAAATGATAGGAGGAGGAGAAGGACGAAGAGAAGAAACAATATCGAGTTTCACATCTATTATATTTTATTTACAAGTGCTTTATGAACATTGTTTTTGTAAGTGCTCGTGTAGGGTAGCCCATGTGCCTCAATTTCCATGGATAATCAACCCCAGAGATAAAAAAAGTTCAGGCGAACGTGGGGACAGAGAGAAATATAAAAAGAAGAAGAATACAGTAGAAGAATACTAAGAAAGAAGAAGAAGAGGAGAATAAGAAGAGGACGAAGAAAGGAAAAATCCAAAGTTCCAAATCTATCAATTTTAATTTACAAGCGCTTTATGACAATTGATTTTTAAAAGTGCTCGTGTAGGGTAGCTCATGTGCTTCATTTTCCATGGATAATCAACCCCAGGGATAAAAAAGTTCAGGCGAGCGTGAGGACAGATAGAAATATAAAAGAAGAAGAGGAAAGTATAATAATAATAAGAAGAGAAGAAAAATAATAATAAGAAGAGAAGAAGAACGGAAAAATGGTAAGTTCCAAATCTATCAATTTTAATTTACAAGCGCTTTATGAACATATTTTTTTTAATTGCTCATGTAGGGTAGCTCATGTGCTCCCCTTTCCATGGGTAATCAACCCCAGAGATAAAAAAGTTCAGGCGCGCGCGGGGATAGCAACATCGCTTGATGTTGCTATCTCAACATAGCGTTTCGAGGTGATAATGAAGTTCGGCCTCAGCGCTCGCCGCCCAATTTGAATTTTGTATAGGGCGACGATAATCAACTCTAAACACTGAAGGGGGGGGTCCCTTTATTATCATCGGCATGCGGTTATGCTCCTGCCGTTCCCCTTTCGGTGGCAAGAGAAGAACTGCTTCTCGAAGATCCACGATTTCACCATGCCCGTCTCGCGCGCGAACCCGCCGCCGCGGCAGCCGCCGTAACTCCGGCTCCTGGACGCCCCGCGTGGGCACGGAGAAGGGCCGCGCGCCGCGGACCCGCGGCGCAGGTGCTCCTGTGGCAGGCGAGAGAGAGAGAGAGAGGGCGAGCAAGATGAGCGAATACCAAAAACGATTGTGAGCGCTGCTGAACCAGGTTGAACCAAGGTTCCAGCAAGACTCAGCAAGCCCAGGTCGGATTATCAGGGGCACACAACGGGTCAGAACGGATTTCGACAGGCACCGGCGGAAGCCGTGGGCCCTGGTCAGTAGCGGCTGGAGCCCGTCTTGCGCGTGCGGGATTGGAATAATAGGGCGGCATTGTGCAGCTGATTTCGCTTCCCCGCACAGTTTCACCAGCTCGCCCCTTCGCTTGCGCTGGTCGGGCGGTGTTGTTGATACATGTTGCCGAGATCGTCTTGACGCTTGTGAGCGAGGTCGTTGTATGCAGCGATTGCTCGGTCGGCACCGGCACTTCTCTGGAGTGCGGCGATGCAGGCTTCCTTGCGACTGAGGTTGGTGTCCTGTCGGCCCTTTTGAGGTAGCCTTTAAGCGGCCCTTGCTTGCTGGTCTGAGCTGCGGTGGTGCAGAGGGCGCACGGCGAGGACCTCTCGGAGGGCGCGCGCCCGGAGAGAAGGGGATGTAACACGTATCGGTCCCGTAATATAGATACGGTTGCAATCTCACCGGGCTGGGCGGCGCTGAAGTTTACGTGTCGGGGCTACGCCCTGAGCACACGTGCTCTCGAGCTGAAATCGGAGGGCGAGGGAGGAGAGATAGAGATAGAGAGAGAGAGAGAGAGAGAAACGAGGGAAGCGAGAGAGATCCAGAGAGAGGGAGAGAAATGGACGTTGCCCAACCTTCTCACGCAAACTTGAACCCCCTGGGGCCCTCTGAAACTGGTGCGGGAGGCTCTGGATGTCGTGCCCCTCCTTCTCGAAATCCTGGGGGCACCTTAGCACAGGGAGATCTTTGGCAACACCCGAAGAGGGGAGCGCAGGATGGGGGAGGGGGGGCGAGCATGAAAGCGTGCAGGCGTGCGTGCACCTGCAGGCCAGTCACGCAAGCGCACGAGATTGCGCTGCTGCCGCAGGGATGCATTCAGTCGTGCGGGCAAGCAGGCGTGCACCGCAGCAGAGCAGATATGGACACAGCGGGGGCGGCCTCCAGATGCCCGAAAAGTGGGCCAGAGGCATCCAAAAACTTCAATCCTCGAACCTCGATCCCCTCCCTTTGGCACACCCGAGGTGAGGAAGGAAAACGTAGGGCCGATGGCCACAAGGGAACGTTGTCCAAAACCGACGGCGGCCGCTGCTTGGCAACGTCTGTCCCGAATGGACAACGTCCCTGGCGACACCGACAGCGAATCCTAATCAAAAATGGCAGGATATGTTGTTGGTCGTCATCCCAATGTGTGTCCGTCCAGATACCTAGAGGAACATCAAGATGCACAAGCATAATCATTCGGAGGTCCGCGCGGATCTCTTGGATCACGCAGGAAACCCTGGCGGCGATTCGGGCGCTAACTAACCCTGGCGAGCTCCGCGCACTTTGTCGATCCAAGAGATCCGCGCAGACCTACGAACATGCATGTTTATCTTGTGTTTTCGGACGGAACTGGTGCCTGGCGGCCGTTCGGGACGACCGAACGCCCCTAGAACGCTCTCGGCGAAGCGCACCTGCTGGAAGGCATCGCGAGGCGGAAAAACCGTAGAGAACCGACGAAAGCGTCCAAAAGCACCGAACCTCCGATCACCCCTCTGAGCCTCCGACAACTCCTGTGCCGCATCGCCGCAGGCGCCGCCGGCCGGCTCGGGAACTTTGCTGAGAACCGCCACATCGGCGAGGCCCTGCGCCCGCGAGCCCGCGGGGGCGGCCAGCGGGGTGCGAGCCTGGGCAAGGGGGGGGAGACGATAGGTCAGGAGACAACTTAGATGGGAGGTCTTGGTGAGACCGAATAAGAGATGTTACACCCGATCAATGGGCCACTGAGCCGGATCAGGCTGGATTGATTAGCCATGGATCAAGCCAAACTGGGCTGAATTAAACGAGATTAACAAACGGAACTGAACCGCATGAGGCCTGTTTTCGACTACGAATGTACCAGCGCCGATGCTGAATTCAACCTCCTGGGAGTTGAATCCGAAGATAGGGGGAGGCTATCAGGCCCCTATCGGCGATGAGTGGGCGCTTGAGGTCGGTGAGTTCCCCCCAAGTCCATCCCCCCTACGTTGCCCCCGACAGGATGCGTCGCAACCGAGGCGTTAGAACGATGACCACTCTGCGGACCCTGAAGTCCGAACATGTGTTGTTATTTCAATCGCTGTGCTTTCTTCTCGTAAGGAATGAGATCCGAGGGGCCAGACAAGAGACACAGTGAATGCGAAGGGCTCGCTGATCATGTAGAAGACGCGTGCGATGAGAAATGAGGCCACCTTCATGTTCGATCGAGGTTCAGCTTTGCAAAGCGACTGCGCGATCCCAGTACGGTAGGTCCCAGATCCATCGGGCAGGCCGCTGTCTTACTTGACGTTGCAGCAATGTGCGATGGGAGACCGAGCACGGCACAAAGATGGCAAATCAGTTCCTCAAGAGAGCCCAACACTACCCCCAAGACGGCCATGGAGATACCCCGAGAGGGTCCCAAGACAAGCTAGATCGAACGAAAAACGGCGCCCTTCGAACTTGGCCAGCGCCACCCTGGAACCTCGATGCCGATACCATAAACCGTCCGGTTCGGAGGATGTCTTGGAGGCCTCTGAGAGGCCTCTAATGCTAGCTTCGGGCGCCAATGTGTGCGTCTTGGGCCGTCCACGCGGCTCCACGGGGCATCTGTGAGAGGGGACCCTCGGACCCTCTCGGAGACCTCATCGATCCATCTTGGGGCAATCTTTTAGCGGGGGATCCGAACAAGGAAGGAATGTAAGCACATGTGTCAATGACTTTCGCCCCGTACGAAGCCTCCGCGCACGCAGTTTGGTGCATATGTGGACCACCTGGGAGCCTCTTTGACCGCATGGTGGTCTCTTACGCCAGTAATTCGAAGCCCGTGCTGGACAAGCGGAATAGGAAACGACCAGAAGGCCAGCCTCAAATTCCGCCTGTATAGCACATCCTCCACCGCTTAGAAAAAAACATGCCGATGGAGTGCGCGGACCCTGGGGGGGGGGAAGAGAAGGGAACAGGGCGAAAGCTCTCCAGGCCATGATCTCGACGTAACCGAGTCTCGCACCCCGCCAGCCCACCAAGTGAGACGGGCGGATGTCTTATCATCAGCCCCGCACGGTCCGTCGCCCGATCTCCCATATAAGAGCGGAGCCAGGACGGCTCGAAGACCGTTCAGCACCGACAAACCTTTGCTCAAGATGGCCCCGAGGTGACCCACTGCCGCCCAAGACGGGCTCAGAGACATCCCGCGCGAGCCTAACGTGGCCCCAAAATGCTCCAGGATCGACGCAAGTCGGCTCCGATGGGGGCCCGCAGACTCCTTGGGAGACCTCCGACAATCTCAATTCTGAGGAACGCAAGATGGCCGAAGATCATCCACACAACTCCGAAGGCCCGCTTCGGCTGCCCCCAAGTCCCGCAAGAAAGCCAACACCACTCCGACATGGACCCGGGAGGCTCCAAAGAAGTTCCCGAGATGGCCGCAAATCGAGACCCATTTGGCTTCGCCATGGTCATGCAGATGTGGGCTGGTTCTCTCAATCTTATCTGGTCACTGATTGACCTGTGGAGACTTCTGGGGCGCTGTTTAAGGTTCCGTGAAGAAGCACTTGCGGGCTACATGTGACGTGTTTGGAGCCTTTCTGGACTGCTTTGCAGGAAATACCGGGGCCGCCTTCAATTACATGCTGCGACAATGAGAACACCACGCGACTCATGTCATTCATGACGGCCTTTGATGCATTTGCTCGCTGATAGGGTGCCTTGCTCTGTTCAACCGCTACTTCATGCTCGGCACGAGGTGTCCCGCACAGCATGCAGTGGCTGTGCTCGAAGCTCTCGGCAGTCCCGCAAAGAGCACACAGCCACATGTCCGCCTTCGGGGGAGGCAGAGCGTAGAGTTTTCTCAACGGAGGGAGTCCGAGCAAGTGGAAAGGGCAAGAGAGTCCACGTCCGCTGCCGTTTTTGGATCAAGGCCTGGCGGGAGCGGCCATGGTGGCTTTGGGTTACTCCCAACGTCTCGCCCGGCGCCAGGCAACATTTGACCGCTCAACGGGCCGCCCGCGAACCACCTCGCCAGAAATCATTTCGGAACAGGCTGAACGCTGCACAACTAAGCTAGCAGTTGCCTCTACATGCTGTCGGCGCAAGTGGCAAAACAGCTGTGGCCTGGCACAAAAGTTCGGAACAAACGCGGCGGCGAAACCTACTGCGACACCTGCTCGTGTTGATGGCGTCGCAGCCTGCAACCAGGTGGTCCCATCAGAAGAGTTCAGGCAGCTTGGGGGGTGCACGTCTGGCATCCAGTCTGAGCCTCGACAGGCCGATGACGCTCCTGCGGCGGCCGCCACACAAGAACCGCTCGACGCACGCGCCGTAGGACGAGCCAAGACAGTGAAGGAGCTAGCGGTGTCAGAGGCGTCTCTTCTCTCACTTCTACACCCTCTAACTTCTTTTCACCCGCCTGGGAAGCAGGCGTGGGCCAACACGGCCGCTAATGTGCCTCCTACAAACTGCGGCGTAATGTCATGCCTCGCCTGCCTTGTACGTCTGTGGCGCTGATGCGCTCGACTGCAGCCTTCGAGGATTCATGTCTTGGCGGGGAGGTTTGGGGAGGAGGCTGCAAGGCATCCCCAACCCGTTCAAAACAACAGTCGGTGCGTTTGTCGATGTGATGAGCTTTTCACCGCGACCGGCAATACCCTGCTGTGGGCACATCAAAAGAAGCTAAACCCACCCTCCGTCTTAGCGTCGGGAGGGCTTGTAGCAAAACACGGCGTCGGGCAGGGAGGTCGGTGGATGCGGCAGCAGTGTTTTTTCCAACACTGCTACCCTACTGATTCCCCCTCCTCATCCTTCCTATACTTCGCCCGCCCACGCGATGAGCGGGCGCGCGCAAAACAAAGCGCAGACCTCCACCGGAGGCAGCTGTGATTCGCAGGTGGGACCATGGCGGGATCGTCGCTCCGAGGGGCCCCACATGCACCGGACGCGCAGAAAGAAACCGAGCCTCCACCGGAGGCGGCAACGAACAGCGGATGGGCTCCTCGTGGGATCTTCGCCCCGAAAGTCCTCGACGGGACGGCGACGCAGGCTGGGGCTCAGCCGCCCGCGGGATCTTCGCCCCGCATTGTCCTTCGCCGGGAAAAAAAATGTATTGCGCGGGGGCCCCGCCCCGAAACGCCCTCCGCTGGAGGATGATGTCGATAGAATGCAGCGCGCGCGACGTTGAGCGTTCTGTGGGGGGCGCCACCCCGCTTCTCGTGCTGCCGGACAGCTGCCACTGGCGGCGCCGCTCACCCGGGCCACTTCAGCGCCCGTCCTTCGGGTCGCAGTCAGAACTGGGGCGCCGATTGCCCCGGCGTCCCTTCTGGAAGCACAAGCGGTGCACATTGTGCCCCAGCAGCACCGACGGGGTGTTCCCTGGGGCGATCTGGCCAGCTGCGGACGCGGAGGCACCGCCCCTGCGCGTCTTCATGGGTCTCTCGCTGACCGGTCCGCTCCGCTTGCCCTTGCCCTTGCCATTGGGCCCCTTGCCCTTGGCGCCCAGCTTGCCGCCCGCTCCGCGGCCCGCGGATGAGTGGCTCGCTTCTGAGCTCACCCCAACCTGCTGCAGACCTTCGGTGGAGCACCCCCCGAGCCGTCCTACGGTGGACCGGGGCGCATATTGTCGTCGTCGTCTTCGTCTTCGCCCTCTTCCTACCCAGAGTTTTTGAAGATGTGCTCTTGTCGCGGGTCTAAGGCTGCCGGGCAACAGACCAAGCTGCATGTCACCACCAAAAATCACATGAGATGCCCAACATGGGCTAACAGCAATGACCACAGCCGTTGAACTGGAAGCCCGGTGAGCACGAATCGGATGTCTGAATCCAGAGGCCATCGACGTGCATGACATGCTTCTCGTCAGCGACAAACATGTCACTAATGAGAAACTCCGCCGACCCTTCGGCGTGTAGAAGACGCTGTCGTCGTCGTCGTCGTCAACCCCAAGGAAGTTGGAGAACAAGGAAAACGAATTTCGCACATAAGTCGAAGGCAAGCCCCTTCCCTTTATCCCTTTCCTGCAGGGGGGGGGGGAGGAGTGGAGCCCCAGGTCAGAATACCGCTCCCCCAAGGGTCCTGGCGGGGCCTGGGGGGGGCGCCAGTGGGGGTCCAAGGGGAGGTCCCGCTTTCAGGGTCGGCGGCGCTAGCCGTAAGACTTTCGCAATGGGCAATTTGGTCTGCTGTGCCTCCCAATCCTCTGGAGGTTCTGCGAGACCATATTGGGCATGTGGGCCAATCTGCACCCCCACAGTCTCGTGCTAGGCTCGCACCGTGGTTAAGCCTGATGAGTCCCCGAGCTGATCCGCGGCCGTATGTTTGCAGTCAGGTCCGTCGGGATCATCGGCAGAGAAATGTCGACACACACTTCCCTCATGCCCTCCGGTTAGGATTGAGTCGCCTGAGGGTGTCGTCGATACAGACACTCGGAAACCGACAAGATCTCTCAGGGGGCGACGCAGTTCATCAAACAAACTCGCGAACATGGGACTTCGGAGACCTCTGCGCCTTGCGTGCGCCAGGAGGTCCTCCGAAAAAAGCCTGGAGGTCGTAACCACCAGCGTGGGCCAAGTGGGCACAAGGCCAAATCAATAGTGGGAGACCTCTTGCCGACCACAAACGATTTGACTCGCACCGTCATCGCAATCAGGCTCGCTGCCCTGTGGTTCCCTGGGATGCCGAGGGGAAGCTTCAGAAGGGAGTAGGCTCTAGACAGAAACTAAGGATATATACAACAACAGACGTAGGTGGAAACAACAACTCAAGGAACGTGGGACTTAGGAGACGAGATCCAGAGGAGAAAGGGGTAGGTAGGAGAAGGAAATCGAGGGGCTGAGGAGGAGCAGTAGGCGAAGCAGGGAACGAGGAGGAGTAGGATGGGGAGGCGGATGAAAGGACATGTGGCTGAGAAGCAGTGGTGAACACCCCATGCGAGAAAGAGGTATGACGATCAAGAACATGACCCACATATCCAAACCAAGCTAATACGAAGACGACGAAGCGGGGGAAGCGGTAAGGAGAGAAAGAGTCAGCTGACGAAGGGAAAGACAGATAAGAAGGAGGAAGGCGTGTGTGGCGATTGAAATCGGGAGAGGAAGAGAACGAGGAGGAGGAGGAATCTACTTCTCGCTGCTTGCTCCCTCTCCTCCTCCTTCTCCTCCTCCTCCTCCTCGTCCTCCTCCTCCTCCAAGGGCATCCTCACCCTGCTCCGCGATCCTCCTCCGCCCCCCTCCTTTTCTCATCCCTGCGCATCCTCACCCTGCTCCTCAATCCTCCTCCCCGATCGTCCCCCCCCGCCCCCCCCCGAGGGTTGGGCGTCGTTTGATGCGAGGGCGATAAATGGGGGGGGTGAAATAGAGGTGTCTGTTTCTGGCCCTACACGCCTCGTTTTGGGCTCTGGGCCCCTGCAATGGCCCCTCCTCTGAAGCACTCGCTGTCCTCCCCTGTCCATTGCCCCACCACTACGCGACTCCCGAGAAGGAAGGAGGACGCGCCTCCCGGCACCCGCCCGCCACGCCCTCCGCCACGCGTCGAGGCGCCCCCTCGCCCTCCAGGCCGTCGCCCGCCCCGCGGCCCGGCGACCTGGGAGGCGGGCCCGCCCAGCTGTCCCCGCCGCCGAGCCCCCCCTTGACGAACGGACGAACGACACACACCCATGCCCATAGATGGGACCGGGGGGGGGCCTATGGGTGCGTGCTGCCAGATGATGGCACCCGCTCGAACGGGATCCTCACCCGCGTCCTGACAACCAGAACCCATACCCATAGCCATTCCCACTCCCGCCGCTCCCCTCCCCCTGCAGTGGAGCCGCAGAAGGACATGATAGTAATACGTATTCTCCTCGCAGGCGCGCGTCCGACCCGAATAGATACTATCACAACATTGTAGTGCATCGTTTCCTGAGCGGTATGGCCAGAGAGCGCCTGCCACGAAGTATGTAATTACAGTAAGATTTCTCGGTGCGCGCGTCGCCCCTGGGGGGGCGGCGCACACATAGCATTAGTATGTTGGGGCAGCGCCGGGGAAACTTTTGCTTAGCGCGTCACGGCGGCAGCCCCGGCGACACGCTTTGCACACCGAGCTGACAACGTGTCGCTCCGCTTCCCGAGCGGGGGGCTGCGAGAGGTTTGGAGCAGTGATGCTTGCGAACCCCTGACGCGGTTAGCCTTTCGCGCCGAAGCGTAGTGCTCCAGAACTGGCAGTGAATCACGCGAAGTGACCGTACTACAGTTGGGTTATGTATCTACAAACGCAAGGTCAACGACCGAACAACAACAAAAAGACCTGTGCAAACTCGAGGCTACAAGGATCCAAATCATTGTGGTCCTCTGTGCGAGCTGTCATTCTAGATTTACTTCTGGGGGACGAATTCAATCCAAGAGGCTTTCACGCCAAAAGTTTGGATGCAGACGACCGACAAGTTGGATTCGCGATATTATCGCACACATGTGATGGGATCCAATTGGATCCGTGCTTTTCTACACAAAGGTGCAAGCTAGGTGGTGCAAACCCACACCGACTCGCCTTCACTAACATGCGACTGGCTGCAAGCTGGCTTTGGCCCGTTGACTGGCTTCGAGAGAGAACTCCCCCGAGGCTGCACAATCATGTCAAATCATGTTTGCTCGCTTCCCTGGAGGCGAACGTCCGACCGAAACGTAGCGTCACCTGTGTGAAACAGGGTTTGCGGAAACATTCGAATATGTCAGAGACGCACCAGATTTTCGGCGCGGTTCCCGAATACCGTTTCACATGGGGGTTCTGAAAAAACTATTGCACCAGAAGGCAATCCCCAGTCACTGCATGACCTTGGATTTTCGCATGCACTTCACGCCTGCCCTCTCCGCTTCTCCCCTTCTCTCTCTCACACACACCCTAGTTATGTTTCTCTCTGTTGCGGATGTCTGTTTTATGCACTTAGTCTTGGAGTACTTGAAATGCCCTGACAAATCGCTCTGCTCTCAGATAAATGCACGTGTGTACATATCCCCTTCCAGACCACATGCGCCATGCTGAGGGTGGGAAGGCGAGGGGAGGACAAGGGGGGGCATTTTGCATGGCGAAACGCAGGGGTTCAGCGGCAGGCCCGCCGCCCGCGCGCCGCCCCAAGCAGGCGGGCGCAGAGATGCAGGGTGGGGGGGGGAGGGAACAGCACATCTCCAGACGAGAAGGGTTGCAAAGGGAGGGGATGGAGAAGGAGACGCGTGCACTACGACCGAGGATCCAGCCGCTTAAGCAAGAACAAACTAAACCGTATCCCCTTCCAGACCCCATGCGCTATGCTGAAGGTACGACGGGGGGGAAAGGGGGGCATTTTGTATGGCGAAAAGCAAGGGTTCGATCGCAAGCGCGCCGCCCTCAACATCCTTACCCCGCCATGCCAGGCTCCCCTCCTCCGACTGCTAAAAAAGGTGGGGATGGGCGCTCGGGGCCTAGCCTTCATGAGCTGGCGCCAGGGAGCGCGGCGCCACCCGTCACCCCGCCGCCGCAGCCACGGGCGCGAGAGGGGGTCACGAAACTGGAAGGAACTAAAGGCTGGTCGCCGTCCGCGGGGGCCCCCTAGTGGGACTCGGCACCCCATCAGGGAGGCACCGCCCCGGTGGCCAGCCCGCCGACAGGAAGGGTGGAAGGCCCCGCAGACTCCTCTCACCGCGGGTTCCCGCTCCCTCTTCCCTTCCCTACGGGGACCCCAGGCCTTCCTGGGGGGTGTTCCTCGGAGGCCTCTCTGGAAAACCTTCCCCTCCCAGGTTCCTCCCTGTCTCCTTCGACCTTCTTCCAATCGGTGCTTCCCAGGGTGAACTGGCAATTTTGGGCTGACATTAACTCTGCCAGCCCCTTCTGGGGCTCGTCGGCCTCCCGCGGGCACGCGCGAAAAGCCTTGGATTTCCAGCGCCCGAACCGCGGCCACCGCTCGAGGTCCGGCACCGCGCGTCATATTGCGCCCCCCCCCCATCTGGAGGCGGCGGCTCCCGACTCGCGAGTGGTGAATCCCCGCCGCCTCCGCGGCCTTGTCCAGCAGCGCCTTCGCGTCCTGCCGCCTGATGGGCCCCCCCCCCTCCTCGTCGCCAAACAGGGGAGGCCTCTCCCTCTGGCGTCCACCGTTGGGGGGCCAGGCGCTCCAGCCGCGGAGCGGGCGCGGATCGATCCCAGTGGCGCGGTGCCCCCTGCAGCAGCCGAAATTGCACTGATGCGTTTTGCTCCCCCCACAAACGTGGTGCAAAGGGCCCCCTCCTTCCGCGGGGCGACGCCCCTCCCGCGCAAGACCCGGCTCTCCGCCTGCGGCCTCGCGGGGTCCGCGAGGTACGCCGAGGCGCGGAACGCAAAGAAAAAGGCCACCGATAAGACGGGACAGGATCATGCCCGCGCTGCGCGATCCCTAGGGGCGTGGTTAATTCCGAAGGGGAAGGGGGTGGGACCTCAATTTTCATTCAAAACGGATAATACACGCTGGGAGAAGCGACGATGCGGCGACGGGGCGGTCGCGGCGGTAACGCGGCCGCCAGACCGCCGCCCTGCCCTGGGCGACGGGCGGCGGCGAGGCGGCGGCGAGGCGGCAACAGCGGCGACGTAGCCGCCAGACCGACATGCAGGCCCAGTTCCCTGAACCACAAACAAAAAAAACCTGTCGCGCAAACGCTGTTTGGGAAATGTCACCATCCCCTCTTCTCAGTTAGCTGTTCGTCTTGACCTGGCGGCTAGACGTCAGGCGCGGCCAGGGATGAGCTCCGAGCATTGAGTCCGTTGAATGTCAATGCCTGTGCCCAGCTGGGCTCGCGTCATCACTGGAAGAGTCGTCGCCGCGCCGCCTGCGCGGCGAACTGGGAGTGGACGCTACCGTCGCACAGTCCACGCGTCGCAAGTATAAATGCGCATGGGTTCTCGCGGGTCGTTCCGCGAACCTGTTGGCGGGTCATGGGTGCATGGCACCTGCGGCGCCCTATATGTCAATCGCGCCCCCCTTGCTCGCGCCTCTACCGCGCGGCGAAGAAGCGCAAAGGCGTTCTGCGCGCAGAACGAAAGATTCCAACAACCTTTGTTACAGTAGTTCTCATCTCACACATTGAACTGTCGATTACATGCGCGCTTCCTGTTCGCATATAAGTATGGATTGAAAGCCTCTGGCACGGCTCTCTGGCCCGCCTCCCGCGCTTGCGCCGCCGAGTGCATCCGCGCGAGCTTGGTCCTGCCCTCCTTCGCGTCACTCATGTGCGCCGCGATTGCTGGGGCAGCTCACCCTGTCACGGTTGCGCCTCGCATATGGGTGGATATCTGCCGCCAGCGCTGCAAATCTCCTTGCGCGCACCTCGGTTCGAGCTTGCTCAAATGAATTGCCATCCCCAGCGCGCATCTTCGCAGGACCGCCTTCCGTTGCGTACGTAGCGAGGTCCCTCCTTTCACCCCGTTGATTATTGATCGCCCTTCTGGCCGCGCGAACCTTTCTGCGTGCAGCCCCACTGTCGCCACCCATTTGAATGATGTGCACTTGCTCGGCGAGTTCCCAAACACTTTCCATCGATTATGTATGATGCCCACTTCGCTTGACCAGCTGAGGAGCTCCTGCTTGACATCTGCAGAGACAGCAACGGATGACGAGCTAGCGGCCATGATACCTGGGGCCGGACTGCCTGTCCCGTACCTCCATGCCCGTGTAGTCCTTGATCGGGATGGCCTTCTCTTGCATGTAGAACTCCTTTCGCATGTCATCCAGCTGCTTTCGCATCTCTGACTGAAGCGCCTCCAGCACATCCTGCGCAGCTCGCAGCGGGGATCGATCCGCTCCCACTTGGGCGTCGATCATTGTTTCATTCCGCCCCGGATTTGACCAGCTTGTCCCCGTGGCCGCTGATTGCCTCCATTATCTCCCTCTTGACTGACCCGAACTTTTCTTTCATGGACCCGAACGCCCCGTTTGTTATACAGACGTTCCTCTGGGAACCGTGGTTGAATGTAAAAGGAACATGGGTCTCATGATCTCCAATAGTCAAACCTGGGGCTTCACTATATGTGGTCGTAGGTCTATTCCGCGGGAACTCAGGGAGAGAACTACTGGGGGGAGGCATGGCATTGGCAGCAATAGCGCCCGTTAAGCAATATGCGAATACGTGCGCACGCGCCGGGCAGGCCGGCCACAGGGCGAGGGGGGGCGCGCGCGCGGAGACCTTTTTTCCGCTTGACTCACAAAGATAGCTGCGGACAGTACTGAACATACTGACATTATTAGATATACAGACAGAGAAGCGCAGTTACCTTCGTAACTGACACATGATTCTCTGGCCTGCAGCGCTGGCAGCTCTCTCGTCGCACCGGCAGTGTCCTATTCACAGCAGCTGAACCCTCTCGCGCCAGCGGACATTGGCAGAGCAGCGAGGGCGGTTTCCGCGAACGGCCCGCGCCAACCTCCTCGACGGCCTCGCTATAAGATGGCCACTGGAGTGAGAAGGAATATATTACAGTCAACCTAATGCATTGAAGCGGCGGCGGCAGCGGCAAAAGAGAAGATGCGGAAAGGGCGTATTAACTCCCCCCGCGGCGGGGCGCGTAGCGTCGCGTCGACCCACGCTATCGCAGCTCTGTACACATGTACAACTCGGAGGAGCCGAAAGAACTCCGAGCCGCTGCGGGGCGATAGATCGAAGCAACCCGACGTACCCCACCTCCGCATAGAGTCTGCCATTCATGTCTAAAAGATCTTCCACTTGAGACGCCAGGGGTTGACCTGTTGATGGTTATGCCGTACAGTTGACTACCATCTCTTCCTTTGCCAGCCATGGTCAGAATCACAATAGTGTGCATATTTATGGTGATGCTAGTCTGGCTTCGAATTGCTCTTACCGTGGCCCATGTCTCTCCCATCAGCCGCAGGCAGCGGCGGGGAAGTCAGCAGCGCATAGACATTTGGACGCATAAGATCTTCACTGACGAGTGCTAGACGAGGGATGCGATCCCAAGGCAGACGTGCTGAAGGTAATTTGTGCAACCTTGTCGTTCAACAACTGGCTTCACGTCTATTCAGATCCAGCGCGCGGCTGAAAGCCCTTGCCCTTGGTGCAGTTCTTGTTACACCGGAAGTGCCAGTCATAGGAGCGGCCTGCCGCAGGGGCTGCGCCCTCGCCGGAGCTGGCACACGGTCCTGGTAGGACCGACGCCTGGCCAGTGCCCTTGGTCTTGCTCTTGTCCTTGTTCCTTGTTCGCCAGGAAGCGCCGAGGCGGCGCCGCCAGGGGGCCCCGAGGAATAGCGCTCATCAACCTGCTGCCCGGACATTGGCCGACCCACGCAAAGCGAGGTCGCGCAGAAGAAGCGGCCGATGACACCGATGACGGTCGGCCATCATTCCTGCGACCGTCGCGGATTCACCGCTGGTCGCCCACGCATAATGAGAGGCATGAGGAATCAAGACAAACAGTGCCCCCCCCCCCCCCCCCTTCGCCAACAGCGCGGGCGAGCTCTGTAAAGCGTTGAAAGAACTACACCGGGTATAGGGCAAACGGAGAAATACTGATTGGGGCATCAGGTAAATATAAATCGAGCTAACAAGGCTGGCAAAGTAGACCGTCGCACTGGGCTGGAATGCGCGTGCTGTCCAAAATCAAATGTTGAGTTGTCATCGTTGAGGTAATGGTGGTGATCAAATCAAATCCTCAGAACGTTAACGCCGCGCTGGTGCACGAAACCGGTAAGTGGGCGGTGTCTCTGGCCGCGGCGGCCGGGCCGCTGGCCGGCCCAAAGCCACGCTGAGGGCGTTGGAATGATGGGCACAGCAGGCGGAACGGGCGGTGGAGCCGCCGCGCTAGTAGCTGTTCCCGGGGCGGCTTGGCCGACCGGCGACGCAGGGGTGTTGAGACCGCTGGCGTCATGTCGGCATCCGTCCCCTGAACGGCTTGGCCGTCAGAGTCACCTACAGTCTGATTATCGTTCTCACGGGCCTCGCGCTGCTGCTTGGCATACCGCAAAATCAAAGCCAGCATCACTTGTAAGTTGAAGCTGGGAAATCAAAGCAGGCCACTGGCAGAGGAATAAGTCGCACCACAATGCAAGACGCAACGAAAATGTCACGAGTTTCGCTGCTACGATGGAGTTGATCGCTTCCACCGACCACACGAGTGGAAGAAAAACTGTTGCACATGTTTGGGCCTTCCCTTCCATCAACAAAAGTTTGCGCCGTTCAAGGGTCACTACTGCATGGTGCTCCACTAATTACCGCTTCAATCGGTGATCTTGGGGGTCTCGGGTGTTCTCCACGAGTCTTGGGTCTTCGCAAACCAATAAAAAGCGGGAGCCACGGAGTTCCCAAGTCCATCAAAGCGAAGTTGGCGCCGATGTGCCCTGTTAGCTCGGCGCATTGGTTACTCGCCCTCGCTAATTCACGTCCCATTCGTGACAGATCCAATGCGCTCAAGTCGCCCACACCTTCGGTCAACGCAAACATTTTGCTCACTTATGTAGATTCCTTCGACCGTTAAAACATGTTCTAAGACAAATCTTAGAGTGTGCACAAAATCATTCGCTTGGCTGAGCTTTTCCTGGATGCTCCCGGAGAAGATGCTGTGCCTTTCGCATCCTCGGCTTGGCCGGGTGCGGGAGCAGCAGGGAGTTGCTGGCTCTACGCTAACTGGTTTGACGAGGAGCGCCGGCGGCTTTCCTTTGTATTCAACGTAAGGGAAACACCACGTGTAAAGCGCTCTGTGAGCTTCCTCTTAACACTGCGTCTGGCTTCAAGCTCGGCGGCAGCATCTGCCGGGAGATAAGTCGCCAGCTACACTGGGCGAACCAGGAGCGGGAGCAGCATGGCGTCACTCGTTTACGTCTACTGCAACTGATGGCCTTTCGACCGACTCCCGACTGCGCTGCCTCCAAGCGTAGTTCATTGGTTTGCTTAACGCAACAGCTCCTCTCCGCACTCCCCCCGGGTTTCAGGGGAAGGCCGTCGGAAAATAGAGTTCCAACATGCCTGGGGATATTGCGCAGATACGACAGCTGCGTCAAAACGATGAGCGCGAGAGAGGTGCACCAGTATCATAGACCCCCCCCCCGCGCAAATGATATCTTATGCCGCTCCACATCGGCATTCTACGTGGGAACTGTGATCTAAGCAAGATCCATAAGGATATGTCGAGTGCGATTCGGTAATCGGCAAAATAAAAGTGACTGGGCAAGGTAGCCAGTCTGTCGTTGTCTGAGTGACTGGGCAAGGTAGCCGAGCAGAGCTGCAACGGCATACGAGGCACGCTACGCCGCAGGACGGCGGCCGCCGATCTCGAGGAAAGGCTTGCCTCCCCAGCCCTCGCCGACTTGGTCGGTGGACCTCCCTTGAGCCAAAGGTCCTCGCCGACTGAGTCGGTCTGGAATCTCGCTGGCGATCCCAGCCTCGCATGGCCACAGGCCTGTCATCCACTAGCGCTCTCACCGGACTGGCATCATTGGACTCGCCCTCGGAGTCGTGGCGCGGCGCGGCCTCGCCTCCTAGTGGAGGCGGTGGCAGTGGCAAGCCGGGGTCTTCGTCCAAAAAAAACAGCTTGGCCGATGATGCGCTGGACCTGGCCCCCGCACCGTCTGCAACGGCTGAGGCCACAGCGGGCGGGACGGTCACTGAGCGCACTTCGGTCATGGTCTTGTCATGCGCTTTCCTCGTGGGAAATTGGGGCTTTCGGTCCTCTGCGGTCTCGTCTAAAGTGTCATTGTAAACTACCGGCCAAATGCCACAGGCACGACGGAACTTTCTGGCCCACTCATACCCCCCGCTTTGTGGACATACCCTGGGTGCATCTTTGCGATCAGCGCGCGCCCAGCGATGACAACTCTGAACAATGACTCTGGCGGGGCATATAGCGCATATAGGATTCGGAAAGGGGGGGTGGCGCACCCAAACGTGCACAAATCGGCGCAACCGTCTGGGCCCGAAAGCCCAAGTGGAAGAAAAGCTGTTGCGCGTTTTGGGGCGCTTTGACGGCTTGGCCGTTGAGCCACCCTCAGGGGTCCTCGCCGTGTGACAAAGACAAAATACAAATGTACAAAAGAAAAAATCTTGTCCGCATCATTTTCCTTCCTGCGTCAGATGGGTAAGAGGAGGAAATGAGGAAACGAACGTTGCCAAGTCAACCAGGAACAGATAAAGAAACCAGTAAACATTCTCCTCTGTTGCGCGTCTCGTAGTCAGCGCCATATTGCCTCAACCCAGATACACGCCGAACAAAAGGGGTCCTGGGATTACGAGTTGGGGGGCGCGCGAGGGAGGCTACGACCGTTGTGAATCGCTCGGCAGGAGAGACCGGCACCTCAACCCCAGCATCTTCTGGGTCTGAATCAGATGGCTCGCCGATGTTGGCCGCGCCAACGCCATCCGAGCCCTCGCTGTCAACAGCCGCTGATTCGTTAGCTGCGTCGCGCGCGTCGGAGTCCAACCTCTGATCCTTGTCGAAAGGCAAGCATCCTGAGACCTCGCATGTACAAGGGCTCTTATTCGCGGCGGCGCAGTCCTCGGCTTAGCCGGGCTGCGTGCGCCCACGCAGCCTGTGGCTTGGCCACGGCCGGGTGACTGAGAGGGGCTTGCAAAGGCAGCGATGCCGGTGGGTGCCCGACTCCAACCGCATCCGGGTGCCTAGCGAGGCGAATACTAGAAGTAGATGGCGGCAGGCACAGAGGACTGATGGGGGCGGGAAACGGGACGCGGACTCAGCCGGCCGTCCGCCAATGTAGCTGTGGGAGCCAATCAACACATGTGTGTGCAAGCCCATGGTCATACGAGGCTCTGAACTGACTGGGGTCGGGAACCTCCCACCGAGTCCATATCATCCAGAACTGCCTTGGATCCTGGCGCCACACAACGCAACCACCCGGGAGCCACCGCAGACTTTACTGGCGGCAACCGCACACATCTACTGACCCAGCGCCTCT